CCTCCTCGTCCCCAAACGTTTGTTTCCCAGATACACCAACAATGATTTACTCTTTCGATTGTGAGAGTGAGAAAATGGTGGTGATTGTTGGAAAAGGGCAGGGCACATTTATACCGGTTTATTTCGTTCACGACTCATCCGACACATATGCTAAGTGAAAATAGTCAACTCGTCGGGTGCAATCGAGAGTCTCCCGATACGAAAATACGCGCTTCTCGGAAGGACCGAGGAACGCCAATCGTACCTCGTTGGACTACAAATAAAGATATTCGGGACTCCAAAATACTCCAGCAGCCAAACACGAGCCCTCGAGGGGTCCGGGGAATGAGAAACTGGGAGACTAATCCCGAGGGAGATAATAATAACGAAATATTGGATTCCGGATTTTTATTTTTATTTTGATGAATAGGGAAAAGCGATGAGAGTTACATAATTTATGGCACTGCCCGTGTGGAAATGAATATTTTTTTTTTAATCGTTATTTTACATCGTTTCGACTCGGTTAGGGTACACTGATAGAATGATTCGTTTATTCCAAACGAGATTCGTTAACTATTAACGAATGGTTCACTTGAATGGCGAAAGTCAAGTCAAACAAGGCTCCTCAGATATACATTCGTTAAGTATTAATGAACATTTGGTGGAACCGAATAGACCCTAACCTCCAACCAAAATCCATTCGTTAACAATAACTAATCCGTTCTATCAGTGTATTTTGCGATGATGATCAAGATTTTAAATGGTTAGATCGCACCATTCTACCCGGCCGGGATTTGAACTCGGAACCTTTCGCATGTGAGGCAACGAAGGAACGAAATAGTTATTTGTGTCACAAGGCCCGTAAGTGGAGGTTTGCGATGAGTGTGAAGTTAGCAGCACGAGGCGTCGGTAAGGCTGCCTTACTGAAGAAAGACCAAATAAACAAAATTGAAAAAAGGGAAATGATAAATTATAAATTCTAAATTAACGGACCGATCTGGAATGAAAAAATGAAGTAGAATGTGTCACAAGGTAAAATTCAACTATTTGTGCTGACGTACTTGCTGCGTCGTCACTGATATTATTCACTTCAATAAAAATGTCTTGTGACTCCTTCGTCACTGTCGAGTATAATGAAATTCATTTCGCTCTTTTATTTAACGGAATTTGTTATGATTTTCCTCGTGAATTTTGGGTTTTGGTGGCAAAATATAGTTCAGCCGCACGAGCTATAGTGTAAGAGGGACTCACTTCACGTCTTACTTAACAGGCCATGGCCTGTAAATCGTGAAATCGGGGCTAGTTTTTACTTACCGGCCCATGGCCTGGTAAATCCCACTTACGGGTTCTAAAACACACCACGAAAACGCCACTTAACGGGCATGAATGACAAAAATATTCTTTCCTCGTCAGTGTATTCTTTCTATGGTATAAACCTATGGAGTTCTCTCAGATCAAATGATTGTCGTACAATAGATTATATTTTTCTCTGCGAACAGTTCGAATTCTTCTAGAGATATTTCTGATGATCACGACGGAAATTTAATTTCTGTGAAAGATGTTAAATTTCCTTCTATCAAGTTGGTTAATTTCCCTCAAGTTTGAACAACAATGGAAAACCTAAATTTTTCTATAAAAAACCGCCTTGAAGTAAGCAACAAGCTGAATGTAAAATCTAATTCTCCAACATAAACAAACAAATAAATGAATGAATAACAACGAATACATCACCTAATGATGATGAAAAACCACCGACTCTCATTAGGTTTTTTTTTATTCACCGGTTTAAATGGAATGAGTAAAAGCCGCCCTCAGGGGCAGTGACTAATTGCACCAGCGGCGTGCCTGACCCCTTCGCTTGTTTATAGGTGCGTATATTTCTACGCATCACGCGTGCCCGAGGAATACACTTCCATACGTATATAAACGTTGGGGTAAACGAAAGAGAGAAGAATCGTGCGTCAGATGTTATTTTGGGTTTCTCTCGCCCGCAGTCTACCCGACACATCGGCCCGTTTCGTCTTCAATTTTTTTATTTCTTTTTCATGTTATTCACCCCCTTCTGGAGGAGTCGCCCGCCGGAGACGTGGCTGACCGAGTCACCAGCTTCTCCAGAAGAAAAAAATATTGAATTTCGGGGGAAATGGAGAGAGAAATATTTATATAATAAAAAATAACATTTCGTGTATTTTCATTTTTTCCTTCAAATTTAAGTTTTCGATTTTTTAATCAGTAATGTTCGCTAATGAATCCATGAAATTTAATCATTACTTCCTCCCAGATTCGATAGTCTTTTTAGCAGTTGCTAATTTATTAACAAAAATAGCTGTACTATATTTACTTACTCGATAATTAAATTAAATTGATTGATTTAATTAACGAATTCAACCGAAATAAACAAAAAAACAATTTACTCAGCGGAGACATTTTGAGGTATTGAATTCAGCAGAGGAAAATTGTATTTTCCCTTCCCTCAATTTACCGCTTTATCAGGGATGCTTGTTTATCGTCTCGAGTCACATTTCCGGTTGCGAGCTCATGAGGCTTCATCTTATCAGTTTGACTTTTGCTAATGGCAACGTTAAAATGAAGTTGAGACGGGACTAAAGTGGATAGCTATGGCGCCCGATTCCACAAGTAGAAATACGATATTTATGATTAGATCGTCACGTGAGTCGCTGAGCGAAATATAACAAAAAGGAAGTTTGGTTTATCGGTGGAACTTGAGACACTTTTGACGGAATCAATTATTGTTATCGAATGCCATTGAATTTTCACTCTTTGATTGAATGTCCATTGGGGGAATTAATCTCCTTGCGATTGTGATTCTTCTTAAGGTGTTTCGCGTGAAAAGTCAGGATAATGAAAGAAAATTTAAATAATTCATGGGAGAAATATCTGAGTGAGCTGCAGCATTGGGAATTTTTTTGTATTTTTTCTAGATGTCGACCTCAAGGAATAAAATAATGAAATTTGGGTGTTCTTGTAACCCCTCCAGCTGTGAGTCCGGGGTTACCTCACTCTCAATCAGGGAGATTTTCATATCTCCCAAAAAAATAATGAACTATTAAAAAAAAACTAGTGGGTGATGGGTCAAATCTTGCTTGAAAGTACGCACAAGTTCCAGAATTTTTCTAGATTTCATGAGAAAGTTATTAGAAAAAATGATACGGGACATTATGAGTTTCGGGGTAAATTCTATCCATTGAGGCTCACGTGTGGCAATTACGCCTTCACTGTGAGTGGCGCGCAATTCGAATGTCAATATAATCGCTGGAGCATCATGGCAGAGGTATAGGTTAGACCATGGAACTGAGAGAGAGAAAACACTCCGCAGGTTTACCAACTCGAAATAACCATAGGAATGATCCGTGCGGCATTGCCATGTCTCTGATGCATTTTAATATTGTTTCAATAATAAGAAAAACACGCGATAAAAATAATTTGACACTCGTAAGTGATGGGAAAAAAATCAATCAATCTGACAAAAAAATTAATATTCAAGAAATGTTCAAATTTCCACTTAAATAGTCATTTGAAAATTGAAAATTTTCGTGTTCAGGGATTGAATCAGGGCTCGAGCCAATGAGACTCCCATTTCGCCTCACAAAAATTCCCATTTCCTTCATTTTTTTGACTACTGTTCGCAGATGAATAAATAAAATATCAAGAAAAATCTGTAAATGAGAAGCAGAAAAATGCAGTCAGTTTCTCGGAGTATCCGCTCATTAAAAAAAAACTTGTAATCGAACAAATTATATCACGCCCCAACAAATGAATACAAAAAACAAGGAAGTGAGGGAATCGATGGATCGGTATGCGGGAAACACAGTCTAGAGTCCACACATCCACAAAATACTCGTATGCACGCAACGTGTGACATCCGGGATGCGTGTTGTGTTCCTCCGCCTGAGTATTCGCGTAGAGAGGAGAACCAAGAAGTTATTCCTGGAAGCCTGCACTCCACATATCCCTCCCCCTCCCCCCCCCTCCTCTCTCTCCTTCTCGCCGGGTTTCGAACTCGTGTTTACAAACGCATTGGACTAAACACAAAATGTTGATGTATTTTTTATCACGCCTGCACTGTAAAAACTAGTGTCTTCAAGACATTTTAATTTAAGACAGACACAAAAACATGTCTTACCAGACGATCTCGTGATGACTGAAGTTCCGAATGTCTTAAAATAAGACGTTTTTTCGTTCAAAAACGAGACGTTTTCATAATGTCTTGGAATACAAGTCGCCAAATTTAAGACATTTTTTCTGTCTCAATTCAAGACACTTGAAGACTGTTCAGTCGCTAGTCATTTATGACTGCGGCTCTACGACAAGACATTAAGCCCGTTAAGACGTGGAATCATAAAACGTTTTTGGTGACTTATCCATTTTCTTTCAATTTATTGATGTTCGGTACTTATTGTCAAATGAATTTGAAGACAGTATCATTGTATTGTTTGGAAAAACAAAGCGGACACCATAAGGATGAAACAGAAGATCCTTCTTCATTTGAGAAACTAAAAATGACTCAAATTCCTCGACAAAAGCCTCTCTAAAAAGACCCACAAGTGTCTTAACTTCATGCACTAATTTTTCTAATGCATTATTCGTTTTTTTTCTTGATGTTGCAGTACGCTGGTATAAGAATTGGCCCAGTGGTGAAGAAGGACGTGATGAAAGCGTCGATAATGCTGGAGCACGACAGCCAGTGAGTATGATAAAGAAATAAATTGTTGAAAAAATCACTCATCCGTTTCTCGTTCGCCTCGTCGGTTCGATTATTCACGGGTTACTTCTATTTCCGGCCGCTCGTGAGACCCAAACGGAATTGACTTATTTTTTTATTTTCATCTCGTCTTGAGGAAGTGCTCGGGGGCTTCTTTTTTGTGTCAACAAATTCCCGGGAGACGGTGAAATTACACGACGAGTCGAGTCTTCATTCACTTTTTCCCTTTCTTTCTCCCAATTCTCAAGTTTAATCAAACAGGAATTATTTGGTACTCCGCTTTTGGGAGGATTCAGCCGTTCTGGTCTCTTGGGGCTGTTACGAATGTCTCGGCTGAATTTTTTGTTTCAACGATTGCTCGCGGGTTTTTATTCGCTTTCCAATTGCGGGGGAAATTACTTAATCGTCTGGTTTTAATTGAATTCCATTGATTGAATATGCGGTTACTTCATTTTTAGTTATGAAATGGGAAAAATTCTCTATTCATTTATTCTTGAATTTTATTATTGCGTTGTGTCTGGCATTGATGATTTAAATATCAAATCAAAATTTTATGTTGTAAAAAAATTTCACTATAATTTGGATCGAATGAAGCTCTTCATTCCAATTTTTTTATTCATTGCAACAATATTTTGTTGCGAATTCATAGAGAAGTGTATTTATTTCAATAGAAATGTTTTAGTTGAATTAAATGAATGACTTATTTCATCCAAATGAAGGATCATTACATGTTAATAAATTCATTGACTCATAAAGTTGTTATTTTAATGAAGAAAACATTTTTAATATTGAAAAAACGTGAATAAAAATCAAGTTTAAACCCATTTCATTCAATTCAAATGAATCATCTTAATGGGTGTATAACGATGACATCAGTAGTTTCAAATTAATCTCATAAACTCAGCGAATAAATATTTCCATTTGTTATTATCAGGTATGCAACGATATTGGCGTTTGACGTTAAAATTGAGCGTGACGCCCAAGAGTTAGCTGACTCGCTCGGTGTTAAGATATTCCAGGCGGACATCATCTACCATTTATTCGACAAGTTCACCGCCTACAGGGAGGAGCTGAAGCAGCGAAAACGAGATGAGCATAAACACATAGCTGTTTTTCCCTGCAAACTTCGTGTTCTGCCGCAGGTGAATTTTTCATAATTTTTATATTTATATTTATTTTTATTTTTTTCTCTCCATCTGCTCGGTGGAGTGAAGGAGAAGCTGCTGAAGTTCAGGGGGATAACGAGGGCGGGGATATTTTGGGGGGGAAATCAAACGTTATCGAGTGTGATATTGTGATGCTGGTTGTCGTGAACTCCGGATGAGAGACTGGGGGCTTATCACCGCCGGATGTTGGAGTGCGCTCGAGGCAGGAAGTCGAATCTCGTGGGCCCCCTCGTCAACCGCTAGCGATAGCCTTTGGTCTTTATCGATTACACCTCCATGCACTGAATAGCTCATCCTAATGTTTTATTTTATGCATTCTGAGATGAAAAAAAAACATTTTGAGGAAACAAGTTGGGAGTTTGGGCATAAGTTAATTAACTTGACAGTTTTATGACTCAATGGAATTTAACTCCATTGAAATTTCATTCATATATTAAAATGGGTCGTCCACGATAATTGAAAACAAGTGTGGAAATTGCATATAGTGTAGTTATTTTTGCTAATAAATTAGCAAAAGCCTCTGAATGGTTATTTTACACTTCATTTCCTTCTATCATGCATAATTTTTTTTTATTTCATTTTATTAAATTGAACATGATTTCTTTTTAACTAGTTTTGGCAGATTTTCAACTTAGTTGAATGTTATCATCATCATTATTCTTATTATCCCTTTCTTCTATACAACCGATTGTTTTTTTGCTTCCATTCGGAAGCAAAGTAATATAAACCGATAAATGACATACGACAGAAGAGAGTGATGTGTAAAATGGCCATTCTAAAAAATACTACTAATTTATTAGCAAGAATAGTTATGCTATATCAAGTCAAAAGCAATTGTCCACTTGTTCTCATCGCACACACAAAATGTCAAACGATATTTATTTCCCCCCAGAAAAAACAACAGATCAGATTTTTCGAGCAATCAATCTGCAGAATGCAAAATCCGAAAATGAAGACCCATAATTCATTGAATTAACTAATTATTCATGTTCGAAAATTTTGTATTCCCCAGTGAAACAATTTCATTCCCCTTTGAATGAAATCCCCTTTCATTTTATTAAATTGAAGTGATTTCTTTTTAATTAGTTTTGGCAGATTTTCAACTTAGTTGAATGTTATCATCATCATTATTCTTATTATCCCTTTCTTCTATACAACCGATTGTTTTTTTGCTTCCATTCGGAAGCAAAGTAATATAAACCGATAAATGACATACGACAGAAGAGAGTGATGTGTAAAATGGCCATTCTAAAAAATACTACTAATTTATTAGCAAGAATAGTTATGCTATATCAAGTCAAAAGCAATTGTCCACTTGTTCTCATCGCACACACAAAATGTCAAACGATATTTATTTCCCCCCAGAAAAAACAACAGATCAGATTTTTCGAGCAATCAATCTGCAGAATGCAAAATCCGAAAATGAAGACCCATAATTCATTGAATTAACTAATTATTCATGGTCGAAAATTTTGTATTCTCCAGTGAAACAATTTCATTCCCCTTTGAATGAAATCCCCTTTCATTTTATTAAATTGAAGTGATTTCTTTTTAATTAGTTTTGGCAGATTTTCAACTTAGTTGAATGTTATCATCATCATTATTCTTATTATCCCTTTCTTCTATACAACCGATTGTTTTTTTGCTTCCATTCGGAAGCAAAGTAATATAAACCGATAAATGACATACGACAGAAGAGAGTGATGTGTAAAATGGCCATTCTAAAAAATACTACTAATTTATTAGCAAGAATAGTTATGCTATATCAAGTCAAAAGCAATTGTCCACTTGTTCTCATCGCACACACAAAATGTCAAACGATATTTATTTCCCCCCAGAAAAAACAACAGATCAGATTTTTCGAGCAATCAATCTGCAGAATGCAAAATCCGAAAATGAAGACCCATAATTCATTGAATTAACTAATTATTCATGTTCGAAAATTTTGGTTTCACCACTGAAACAATTTCATTCCCCTTTGAATCTCGAAATTCTCAAATCCGGCGGACGTAAATTTTCATCAAAAGCGAACGTGAATAAGCGCAAAGGCAAATTTCAAAACCCAAGTGTTGTAGATATAACACAACAGGAAAACGTGTATCAAACGATAGTATAGTGGCCTATACGGCGCCACACGAGTAGATAGCCATTTCCTAGAACGTGCCACTGGCAATTGGAGTCCATTTGAGTTTCGCCAAAAGGAAATCATAACTGTGTATTCATATTTTTCGTGTGATATTGCACCCATTAGCATTTCCAAATGCACTTTAAAATGAATTGACAATTTGTTTGGGCATTCTATTTATGCTATAACATACGGGAGCGACAGTAAATGTCGGTTTTATGAAAATTATTCGATTCTTCAGTGCGTATTCAGCTCGCGGAATCCCATTGTCGTGGGTGTGATGGTCGAAGCTGAATTTATCAAAGAGCGAGCACCAGATTTTTATTTACTTTTGTTTTCCTTCATTTCAACAATATTTTTGTTGTGAATTCATAGAGAAGTGTTACATTACATGTTAATAAATTCATTCTCTTCGTCATCGGAAGAATTATTTCAATTCTGAATTATAAAATTGTTATTTTAATGAAGAAAACATTTTTTATATTGAAAAAACGTGAATAAGAATCAAGTTTAAACCCTTTTAATTCCATTCAAATAAAGTTCATTCAATTCAAATGAATCATCTCTATGGGTGCACAACGATGACATCAATATCTCCAAATTAATTTCATACAATCAACGGATAAACATTTTCTCTTGTTATTGTTAGGTATTCATAAATATTGACAGTCGACGTTAAAATAGAGCGTGACGCTCAAGAGTTAGCTGACTCTCCCGGTGTTAAAATATTCCAGGCTGTCATTGATGATTCAAATGTCGATTTTTAACATCGCGTTCAATATTTAATTATTCTGATGACGAGTGGTTTCAGGGGAGGATAACTTTCATATAAAAATTTCTTTCAATGTTGTATTAAAAAAAAAATTCACTATAATTTCGATCGAACGAAGCTCTTAACTCCAATTTTTTTATTCATTACAACAATATTTTCGTTTGCGAATTCATAGAGAAGTTATTTCAATTTATTTCAATAGAAATGTTTTAGTTGAATGAAACGACTAAGTCATTTCATCCAAATGAAGGATCACTACATGTTAATAAATCCATTCTCTTCGTCA